TGCAGCCTGGGTCAAGATCATACAGGAGAAAATTGCAGAACACATTGATTCTGTGCCAGAACGAGTCAAAACACTGAAAAATGCTAGTGGCAAATCAACTAAGTACTGATGCACATTTGTAAACATTTTTGTCAAGTTGATAATGTGAGATAAATGACTATTGAAAAACATCATGGTGTCTATTTACTTTTGAGATGTCTCTGTACACAATCACTCACTAACTTCTGTGAATTTTCTTTCATTACTCAGATGAATACTTCATACTTTGACATTCACATTAGCTCACTGCTAATTGGTATTTATAACTTAGGTATTCATATCCAGATATTAGTCAAAGTTTCTCAAGGTTAATGTTATCCACCTTCTAGCTAACACCTAAATTTAAACATTGGAAATATAGCTTACAGGATTGCTCTCTTCCAGAATTGTGAAGTCTCTTGAACAATCCTAATACAAAAATAAAATGCTGCATTAAACTGTCTATTCACCAAGTTTTTTTGGTAGTTTTTTTTTCTGAGGTTTATGGCATACAGAAGGGTTGATCTCTTGTTCTTTGCTTTTCTGCCACTTGGAGACCTCTCCATGAGCAGGTGGTCAAGCAAATCCACTTGGTATTTTATCCTTTGGAAATTGTCTCAACAGGAACCATGGACTACTCAGTAGGTTAACTTTCTGCATATAAATTCTCTGAAGTTAGCAGTTTGCCATTCTCACTGATAAATTTCCAGAGATGGTCATGGTAAATGACCTTTTGCTTGGATTGCCTGTCCTTCAGTAAACCACTGCTTTGTTTTTAGTAAAACATATGGCTCTTCCCAACACTTCTTTAACTTCATCCTTTCATATGGTGGCAATTGTACAGTCACACCATATGTGTTACCTTGTTGATGTTATCAACAGTTTTAGAGCTGGGCAGTCTCATTAATCAGTTAGAAGCACCATGCCATCTATAATCTTACAAGCAAAATATAGATAACTAGGTATATGTTAATGTCGACTAAATACCACCATGAGGTTGCCTTTATGTTTATTTTCAAATATTCAGTAATCCCTCACTGACAGGTGTAATAATGATTTAATTCTAAACATCTCACGACTGAAATTACAAAGAATTAAGTAACCAGTTTACTAATGTTTGTTGTCTGAATAGGATAAACAAGAACATTTTGCCTACCATACTCACTATATAAACAGATGTATCTGATTTGCTGACAATTTTATTTGGCAACCATTGAAACTCAGTAAAACCATATAATGTCTAGAAAAAGTAGAATTTTAAACAAAGAATCAAAAATTAACAAGGTACCTTTTTTAAGCCTAAAGCAGTATCCAATCATGTGACTTCTTTGCTTTTACTATATGTATTTATGTGTATATGTATATATATTCCTTTTTCAAGATAAACTTTGTTACCCATTCAACCCTTATCTAAACTGTATAAGCCTACCTACTTTCTCCATATCTTTTTTTCAAAGCTGTGTTTTATCAATAAATAATCAAATCACTTGATGTGGAACCATTGGAAGGTTTGAACCAAAACCCATACAAAAACTAAGAGAAACATTTGAAAGTCAAGAAATGTTAGGAATAAAGATATTTTTTGAAGCACATGTGAAAATGAATATGTGTTGTTCCATGAACAATATTGATGTTCATAAAAAAAAAGATATAGATAAATGTTAATTGTTGATTTTTGGTTCTTTGTTTAAAATTCTACTGTTTTTACTTTTTCTAGACATTATATGGTTTTACTAGATGGAGTACTTATGTTAAACAATTTTCAAACACATGAATCATTCATGTTTCAAATTATGTAAACTGCTGTTAAAGTTCCATACTATGAGAAACTGTTACTCAAAACAGGAGCAGTCCAGGATCTTGTAAGGGTGTTCAGTTCCATCTAGACCTCTGCTAGCACTACTGATAAATTT